AATAATTTCATACAACATTAAAATAAACCATTTAAGTACACAATTTAAACTAAACAGTTAATTCAATTAAACAAATAAACAATTAGACAAATAACCAAATAATAAACTAAAACTGTAATTAAAATAATTAATAAATTTCAAGACTATCATTTTAAAATTAGGGGTATTACATGGACCGTGAAGCACTCGGCCCGTACTCTTATTTTTTTTATAAAAAGGTATTATTTTTGTTTCAAATCCCAATTGTAGCCATGGCACTTGTGCAAAATCCATCACTTCGAAAAGGGTGTCATGAAGTTTTGGGTAAGCAAAAGACTGTAGAACATGGGCTGTTGCTTATTATGGAAGGCCATGATGGTCATTTCTTTTATTTTTACTGGTCGGATCGACTTGTATACAAAACAAATAAGGCCATATATACCAAAGCAATTGAAGGAGATTTATACATACTAGCAAAATTCATGTGCGATGCACGTGATGAATTAATCATTAAATAATATAAATAATAATAATCATAATAATACAACCTTAGATATAATCATCACCACCATTATAATAATAATCATAATAATGTTCATGTATATAATTAAAAATCATATAAAATCTCAAAAAATAAATATCAAGTAATTAAAATAAAAATAATTATAATATATACAAACACAATTATTATAAAAATTAGTCCACAACAATGACTATAAAATAGAGAATACATTAACAAAAAAAAAAAAAATTTAAAAATGAAGAGTTGGTGATTAATGAAACTCTTTGTTTATAAGTAGAGTTTGTAAAATTTAAAAAATAATAATAACAAAAATATAATTGTGCAAATACCAGCAATAGATCATTGGGGTTAATGCATCGCATAATTTGGTTCAACCCCAATGCATAACATTTGACTTATACTGCAAATGGAGAAAATGTACAAAAATATATATAAAAAGTAAAATTTATTGAAGTTTAGTCAAGTTAGGCATCCCTAACTGTTCTTAATTTAGTTTTAAAAAAATTAAAAAATTTCTCCATTGGATGAACAATAAAGAGATAAAATATATATAAATATATATATATAATAAAATTTGTTAAAATTTAGTCAAGTTAGGCATCCATATTTGTTCTTAATTTAGTTTTAAAAAATTAAAATTTAGTATTTAGGAACTAAAAGGTTAGCAAGTTATTGGACTACGCTTGCTTACTTGTGTGGAACCAATCATCATCACTGCAATGCAAAATCAATAAAATAAGAAAGCATTCAAAATCAAAATATAGTGTGTGTATCTTGGTAAGTGAAATTACATAATCAACACAGAGGGAAAAAAAAAAAAAAAAAAAAAAAAAACTAACTAACTAACTTGATATTCTTGAACATTAGAACAATCATAATGGAAACTAAAAAAAAATAAATCAAATTCCATTTTTATGCTACTATAATATATCATCAAATTCTTCAATATAAAATTGCGCGCCTGTTTCATCATTCTTTCATTTCCTATAAAAAATAAACTGCTTCAAAGATTAATGTGGAATTAAAATAGTGGAATTACACAATGTTTTATATATACACAATCAGCATGGAGGAAAAAAAGAGTAATAATAAAAACAAACAAAATATTCTTAAACATTAGAACAATCAAATTCCATTTTTATGTTAGTATAGTGTTAAGGAAAACTATCCCTGTAATTATGGTGATGAATATACAAAGTTTGTTAAGGACACAAATTCCTCAAATTGTGGCAGTATTACACGTTAAATCACAACTATTACTCTTTCTTATTATGCAAAATTTCCATGTAATTAGTGTGCACAAAAGGTGTATATGTTCTGTATGATTGATTAATGAAAATATCGTTTCCCTTACCAAATTATTCAAATTCTTCATGGTATCAGATCAATCATCGGTAAACATTGAAACCATGTCGACCATTTTATCCAAACAGGAACCGCAACTTACAATCAAATTGTTTCATCAATGCTCAAGCTTGATTTCTGTCAAGCTCACCACTACTAATTACCTCCTGTGGTGTTCTCAGATCACTCCTCTAGTTCAAAGTTTGGGCATTTATCATCATCTTACAAACGGTGATAAACCCGCTGAAGAGATAGAGGATGAAGAGGGTAACAAAGGTGCTAACCCGCTTTATGAGTCGTGGATTACAAACGATGGTTTGCTCATTTCATGGTTACTAGGAACCATGAAAGAAGACCTGCAGAGTTCGATCTTCGGCTCCGAAACAGCGTATCAAGTATGGACCTCACTTGAAGAGCAACTCCTTCCCATCATAGTTGAGAAGGAAGGTCATTTAAAAGGAATGTTAATGACCATTCAAAAAGGATCTCGATCATTGGAAGATTACTTGAAGGATTTTAAGTCTATTAGCGACAATCTCGCTGCCATTAAGAAGCTAGTCCCAGATCTTGATAAGGTGTTCCAGTTCGCTCGTGGTTTGGGTCCGAGTTATGAAAATTTTCAAATTGTTATGCTCACCAAACCACCTTACCCATCATTTTCTCAATTTGTTCTAGCCCTTCAAGGTTACGAGCAATCACAAACTACGAAAAGAGACCAAGAAAATATGGTATTGGAACATGCTCAAGCCTTCTTTGGACAATGAGGTCATGGTAGAAGCAGTCAAGGAGGCCGTAGATGGTTCAACTCAAGAGGTAGGGGTTTAACTCCTGCCAGAAGGTATAATGTTCAAGGAAATCAAAACAGCAATCGAAACGTCAGTCAAAACAGCAACAACTTCCCATCGAAGCATAAGAATCCTTCTGGACAGCAGCACCGTCCAAAAAATGCTGAAAATAATGATAAAGTTTCTTGTTAAATTTACGAAAAAGCAAATCATTTGGCAATTGATTGCTGGCACAGGTTTAATTACTCCTACCAACCTGAAGATTTTCCTCAAGCTCTTGCTGCCCTCGTTATTAATGATTCAAATGATCAGTAATTCTATGTTGATTCAGGAGCAACTTTGCACATGACAAATGATGCAGGTAAACTCTCTTACATAAACCGTATAATAGAAGTGATGTGATTTATGTTGGAGACGGAAATAGTTTACCTATATCTCATACTGGTGATATTTGTGTTAATATGCATGAAGGACAATTAAATTTAAAGGATGTGCTTGTGGTCCCTGATTTAAAAAAGAATCTATTGTCAGTTGGAAAGTTTACTTCAAATAATTTGTGTACTTTTGAATTCACTGCTTCTGACTTTGTTGTGAAGGATCGAAACCAAAGGATAATAGCGAGGGGATGTAAGAAAGGTCAACTTTATGCTCTAGATGGGATTCCTCAAGAGGCTCTTAGTGCAATAAGGAAAGGCGGATCATCTGCAACCCATTTTGATCCGACGATATTGATATTAGAAGGTCGGGGAACTAGTTCCCACATGTGATTGTCATGGAGAGCTTGAAGTTCATCTTCCATTGCCGTCACCCATCGTGAATCTTTGAGAGCCGTTTTTAAAGTTTTGGCTCGGATAGGGACGCACAATCAGAGGTGGTGGTGAGCGTATAGTCATTGAGATAAACAGGTGTCGTCGGATTCTTTCTGGACGTGAGACGATGGCAGCTGGACTATCTTGCATTGCTTCACTATGAGTGTCCAATAAGCCGTCGGAAGAGACATCTCGGCTTGTGATGGGAAGTGCCGAGACATCAGTTGATGATGCGGCAACGACTGGCTCTTCATGTAGACTTGGCCAATTTGTAGGAGATGAAGAGTTATCATTGACATGATTTGCGGCAACTACTAGCTCCGAATCTTCACGTAGACTTGGCTGATTTGTAGGAGATGAAGGCTCCAAAATTTCAGCAATATTTTCTACAAAATTTTGATTTGAACCTGCAACACAATTTTGGTTACAACAATCTAGTGAATTTAAGGATGCCGAAGCTTCCTTATTTGTCTCAATCAATTGGTTCGATTGGTGAGAGAGATCCTGCATAAAAGTTACCTTTTTTGCAGAGTTAAATAATTCATCAAAATAAGGAAACTTAGACAAAATCAGTTGTGAAGAGGCTGGAACATCACACGGAGCTTTGTAAGGAAAATTTTCTTCATCAAAAATGACATGCCGGGATATGTAAACTCTCTTTGTTCTGGGCTCTAAGCAGCGATAACCTTTATGTATGGGATTGTAGCCAATGAAAACGCATGGATACGTTTTCTCAGTAAATTTATTACCACCGTGAGATCGTAGTGACGGAAAACATCGACACCCAAGCACTCGCAAACCACTGTAATCAGGATGTCGTTTGTAAAGTTAACGATAAGGACTGTCATTCTATAAAATGAGAGATGGTAATCAGTTAATGAGATATACTACAGAAAGAAAAACATCAACCCAAAGAGATAGAGGCAAATTTGCATGAAACAACATTGTTAACCCTGTTTCAACAATATATCGATGCCTCTGTTCTGCTACTCCATTTTGCTCAGGAGTTTCTGGACAAGAGATATGCATTTCTATCCCATAATTTTTTATATGATGAAGGAAATCATTTGAATTAAATTCACCACCACCGTCGCACTGAAAAATCTTAATTCATCGATCAAATTGGTTCTCTACTAGCCTTTGAAATTTGAGAAAACAATCAAGGAATTCTGATTTTCTTCGTAAAGGATATAACCATGTGAACCTCGAGTAATCATCCACAAAAATTGCATAGAAACGAAACCGTTGATTTGAAGCCAAAGGGGCTGGTCCCCAAAGATCACAGTGAATTTTCTCAAGAGGGAAATTTAAAATTCTATTTGAAGAATGAAAAGGCAATTTACAACTCTTTCCCATTTGACAACTAACACATATGGAAGGTTTAGAAATCCAATGGGTGACATCAATAACTTTCTTTTCCTTTAACAAAGACAAAATCTTTGAATTCGGGTGTTCGAGTCGTTAATGCCAAAGGATTGCAGATGATCCGCCTTTCCTTATTGCACTAAGAGCCTCTTGAGGAATCCCATCTAGAGCATAAAGTTGACCTCACAAACCGAGATGTCTCTTCCGACGGCTTACTGGAAACTCATAGCGAAGCAATGCAAGATAGTCCAGCTGCCATCATCTCACGTCCAGAATGAATCCGACGGCCACCTGTTTATCTCAATGACTATGCGCTCACCACCACCTCTGATTGTGCGTCCCCATCTAAGCCTAAAACTTTAAAAATGACTCTAAAAGATTTACGATGGGTGACGCAATGGAAGATAAACTTCAAGCTCTCCATGACAATCATACGTGGGAACTAGTTCCCCGACCTTCTGATATCAATATCGTTGAATCAAAATGAGTGTGTCGTATAAAGTATCAAGAGGATGGTTCCATCGATTGTTTCAAGGCTCGACTCGTCACACAAGATTTTACTCAAGTTTTCAGAGTTGACTATGACGAAACTTTCAGCCTAGTAGTTAAGCCAACTACTATTCAACTTGTCATGGCTTTATCTCTTTCCTTTAACTGGAATATGAGACAACTTGATGTCAAGAACGCTTTCTTGCACAGTCATCTTAAGGAAACGTTATACATGGAGCAACCGTCGGGGTTCCAAAATCCAAATTTTTCTAATCATGTTTGTTTAATCAAAAAATCATTATACGGTTTGAAGCAAGCACCCAGTGCTTGGTTTAACCATCTCTCACAATTTTTGCTTCACTTTGGGTTCTATTGCAGCAAGGCTGATTCTTCACTCTTTATTTACTACGACAACAATATCACTACTGTCTTACTCATCTATGTAGATGATGTTCTTGTTGCTGGTAACAATGACACCTTCATTACAAATTTACTTTGCTCACCTTGGTCATGAATTTGCAATTAAGGATCTCGGTTCACTTCATTATTTTCTTGGTGTGGAAATTTGGCCTTTCTCTAGTGGTATTTTTCTATCTCAGAAAAAGTATATACATGATCTTCTTACTCGAACAAAAATGCTTGACAGCTTTTCCATAGCTACACCGATGATCATTAAAGAAAAGTCAGCATATTCTGATGTCGATCAAATTGATACCACTGCTTATCATAGCATCATTGGTGCTTTGCAATACTTAACCTTCACAAGACCTGACATCATTCATGCAGTCAATCGGGTATGTCAGCATTTTAACAATCCAACTTTAGTTCACATAAAGGCAGTTAAGCGAATCCTACGGTATCTTAAAGGAACCCAACATTTTGGGCTACGTTATCTTTCTCAAAGTTCTTCATCTTTGTATGGTTTTAGCGATGCCGACTGGGCTGGATGTCCAACTATAAGGAGAAATACTACGGGGTTTTGTGTTTTCTTTGGTGCAAACTGTGTTTCATGGTGTTCAAAGAAACAACCGACAGTCGCTCGATCTAGTTCGGAGGCCGAATATCAATCTATGGCCTCCACTACCGCTGAAATCACTTGGTTAACATTTTTGCTCAGAGACATTGGTATAACACTTTGTCAACCTCCTCAGTTATTTTGTGACAATATTAGTGCACTTCATATGTCTGTCAATCCAATGTTTCATGCTCGATCTAAACATATCGAGCTTGACTATCATTTTGTTCGTGAAAAGGTTGTTATGGGTACTCTTATTACATGATACATCCCTTCATCCTCATAACCGGCGGATATTTTTACAAAACCGTTACCCAAACAAGCGTTCACTTTCCTTCGCGACAAGCTGGGAGTCCACATTCATTCCCTCTCCATCTTGAGGGGGTGTGTTAAGGAAAACTATCCCTGTAATTATGGTGATGAATATACAGAGTTTGTTAAGGAAACAAATCCCTCAAATTATGGCAGTTTTACACGTTAAATCACAGTTATTACTCTTTCTTATTATGCAAAATTTCCATGTAATTAGTGTGCACAAAAGGTGTATATATTCTGTACGATTGATTAATGAAAATATCGCTTCCCTTACCAAATTATTCAAATTCTTCATATAGTTCTTACCCTTGTTACAACATAATAATCTCTAGTATATTATACCATCAAATTGTTTAATACAAAATTGACTCTGTAAAACTGTCCCATGTTTCATCATTATTGTTTTTCCTTTAAAAAATAAACTGCTCCAAAGATTAATGCGAAATAAAGTATTCAAGTAATAAAAATGGACTATAAGAGTAAAACTTGCCCTCATAATATGATAAAAGAAAATTTCATAAAAAAACTAATCCCATTCTTGAACCATTCATCCTCCATATTAGGCCCATCTGAATATTTTCCTGTCTAAGAAAAAGTATAATTTTCTTGATCAAATTTCTTTTTTTCTTTTTCCTTTTTATTATAAATCAAACAAAAATTTGAAAAACAAAAACAAATCAAACCTCCACTGAAAGAAAAGCCATCCCCAATAGAAGTAGGAGCATCCAACACACAATCCTAAAATCCATCAAATAATTACTCAAAATAATGTAAAATGAGATAGAGAAAGAGTTTAATTATGTGAAAAAGCTAGCTTACTAAATATATGGTCACTATGGTCATTTGGTGTGAAAACTGAAACATTAAATTGGGGAGGTCACTTGTGGGTTGTGACCTCTTCAAATTTCATATTTTAATTTAAAAAATGTAGAATTAGTTACCAAATGTTTACATCTTTATTAATAATGAAATTTTAGTAATAGAGAGATAAAACCTATGAATATGAACCATCAACTAATTATTGTATGTGTGTATATTAATAAAATAAATAAATTAAAGTATATATATCAAATGAAAAAAAAATTTTAAAAATGTTAAGAAATAGCTTACATTTTAAGAAAAATTAATAAAAATTTAGTAATGGAGAAATAGGAGTCATGAGTACGAACCATCAACTAATTATTGTATGTGTGTATATTAATGAAAGCAATAAATTAAAATATATACATATCTAATGAAAAAAGAATTAAAAATGTTAAGAAATTCTTTACACTTTTAGAATAATATAGATATAGATATATAAATATATAGATAGAAACAGTAAAAAAAAAGTCTTGTACTTTTGTAAGTAGTTGAAGATGCAATAAATTTCTATTTTAATTTTTATAGAGTTTCATTACATTTCCAAAATTCTTTTCCCTCTAATTTGCAGCCTATTTATAGACTGTTACATGCCTTCTAGAAGCTTCCTAACGAAATCACTGTGCTGGGCCCCTCCCGGGCCTCTCTTGTTATGGGCTTTACTACATCCAGTGGATCTTTAGCTGGTTTTTTCATCTTGGGCCTGTTTTGTGAGTGCTTGGTTCGGATCTAGGTCATTTACCAGGCCCATTGCTCATCATGTGAACCGTGCCCGACCCACGCCGTTTTTGGCATCCTCAATTGCCCCCAGTAATCTCCCCCTAATTTATTAGGGTGGGATTATTAATTGAGTTAATGATGGTTTGACGGCTCAAAGCGATCATGTGGGACATCGAGCGGTCAGCTTAGGAATTAATGTTTTTGAAATTCAAATCTCTTTAACTTCCTGACGTCTCGGTTAATGGGACCACTTTCCCTTTATAAACCTTTCATTCACACTCACGGCCTTCCTTGTCATATCTATCACATCTCGCTGTCAATCAATCCACTGTCCATTATCTCCAGGCAAATTGATCTTCTCCGGAAAACCAAATCTTCTCCGGCGAACTCCTGTGAAAGATCCTTCACTCTCAGTTTTCCTGCAGCATCCTTTGCAGTTTTCAATCCTCTCAAGGTTAGTTTTGTTTCTTTCTTCTTCTTAAAATCTCTGCACATTTCCCCAGGGATCATATTCATTCTTATCATGCCCATCAACTTAGATGTTCTTCACATGAAACTCCAACTCCCTAACAATATTCTTCTTAGGGAATGCCCCAAAAATGTAAACGTCAAAACTGGTGCTGGCCTTCTTCATGGTGAAACCTTATTTCCCTTCTCCATCTAAATATTATTAGATTCCCTTTACATCCTTTCTTTTGTTATGTGTTCAATAGGTTGAATCTTTCCCCTCTCCAAGTTAACCCTAATTTTCTTAGCATTCTATCCGTTCTGCTGCTTCTGAACTAAGACAGAGGTTTAGATCTTGATATAATTGATCTTCTCCTTTGTTAAAAGGTCAACAAGATCAGGTTGGAAGATGAATTACCATTTTTACCCTATTGATAAAAGATCCATCTATACGAACAAACTTAACTCTGAGAAAAGGTGGAAGAAGGTCATAGTTGGGGTTCAGGGGGCTTGGTTTGCTCCAGCTGCCAAGGACTACCCCATCCCGAATGCTTTTGGTGAATGCTCTGTTTCCTCCTACAAAAAATTCAAGAACCATAAGACCGATTGCCCTCGTGAAATTTGCACTCCCCGCTTTTGTTCTTTTCTTTACAATTCTCTGGGTATCCCACAGAATAACGAACTCAGTTACAGCATTTGCAGGGATAGGATCACATATCTAAAGGAACACGTACTGAACAACGTCCCTTCTTGTTCGGAGCTTCTTACGTCCGAGAATCTCAGTGACATTTCACTCCTCAGCACTACAATGAGCCAACTCTGGATCCCTTCCTTTAGCAGGAAGAATAACCATCCTAGGGTCGTTGCTGCTTCTGCAGCCGCTTCTTCTCCAACTTCGGCATCCTCCTCTGCTACTACCTCCAGCACCACTCTAAACGTAGTTGCTGTTAACCCAATCGTCATTGCCCCACCTGTCAACCCGAACGCTGCTCCTCGAGTTGGAAATCCCTCTGCCCTTGTTTTATCCGTCCAGGATAAGGAACAAGGAAAAAGACCTCAGCTTGACAGTGAAGGCAGTCCTAATGATGTTCCTCTGACAAGGAGGATTCGAACTTCTGGGCCAAACGTGCCCATACCTCCCCAAACTAGACCAATTGCGCCCTCTGGGTCCGGTATAGCCACCGCCTCTCCCTTTGGAGAGGCTCCATGGACCCCCCGATTCATCCAAGCGGATGGATCGGTTATTAAGCCAAACAAAACCATGTTCAGAGAAGGCCCAACCGCTATGGCCTATTACAAAAACATGTGGTCCCCCAAAGACATTGAAGTTGCCAAAGCTCTATCTTAAAAAGAAGTTTTCAGTCACTTTCCTCTGGCTGCTATGGAGGTAATTTCCTACCCCTCTCTTGGTCGCTTCAGATATGTCTTCATATTATAATTTCTCTGGATAGACGTTCGGCTTAATTAATACTCATGTATTACTTTGCAGACTCTGTTTGGTATAATGGCAATGCAAAAGCATGTCGAGGCTGCCAATGCTAAGGCAACAAAGTTCTCCAATAGCCTTGATGCAGCTAACAAGGAGAACAATATCATCGGCACCAAAAACGCCGAACTGATGGTACAACTAAACAAAGTTGAGAATGAAAGGGACATTCTGAAGAAAGAAGCAGACTCCCTTCAAGATGAAAGGGACGCCCTTCAGATCGAGAAGAGCGTCTGGCAGACCAAGCATGAAGCACTTAAGGCTGAAAAAGACAATCTCCAGCACTTGCTATATGATGAACAGGCAGAGCGTATGGCTTTGGAGAAGAGGGCTCTGGATGAGCACAATGCCTTGCTTGGCATCATTGGAAAGGTTAATGGTTGAGTGACGGCTTTGCATGGTCACTTCTCCAGGATCGGAGCCCTCAGGTTTGCTGAGGGGTACAGGGAGGGTTACAGTGACCGTTTTCCCACTGAGGGTCAAACCAGTTCAGGCGCCAGTCCAGATGATATTGACAAGGAACTGGAGATCGATCCCCTATGAATTTATGCTGACCCGGACTCCACTCCTGCCGAACATATTTTTGATGAATGCTAGAAGATTGCTTCTTCCGGAGTTATTCTTATCCCCTCAGCTGCCCAACCCCTGGATGTTCCTCCTCTTTCCACTATGGTTCCTCCTACCCCTACTGCTGAGGGTGGAACCTAACGAGATGGAGTGGTCATCCACCTTGACTCTCCTTCCCGAGGGGAGACTACAATCAAAGAAGATGAAGGGAACTCCGGGCGCGGGCAAGAGACCGAGGGTGTAGATAGGACTAAATAATTACCTACAGATGCATCATCTTCTTTTGTATACTGTGTTCATTCCACCAGAACCATCTTTGTAAATGTTTGATGAACATGAATTTAATGGAATGAAAAAGTTTTGACTAATACTTATCTCATGGTGCTTTTACTAATTCATCGTCGCCTCCGAATGTCATTTATCGCAAGTGTTTAGCACTCGGCCAGAGTGCCATTGGCCACTTGGCTTCTTTTTATTACTTTTTAGTAAGTGTTTGGCGTTCGGCTCGTAGTGCCAGTTGCCACTTACTTTGCTAAGTGCCCGGCGCTCAGCTAGAATGCCACTTGCCACTTTCACTTTTTATTTTCTGCACAAGTGTTTGGCGTTTGGCTCATAGTGCCAGTTGCCACTTACCTTGCTATGTGCCTGGTGCTCAGCTAGAATGTCACTTGCCACTTTCACTTTTTATTTTTTACGCAAGTGGTTGGTGTTCGGCTCATAGTGCCAGTTGCCACTCACCTTACTATGTGTCTGGCGCTCGGCTAGAATGCCACTTGCCACTTGCCACTTGCCACTTGCCACTTTTTATATTTTGCGCAAGTGTTCGGCGTTTGACTCATAGTGCCAGTTGCCACTTACCTTGCTATGTG